CAGATGTTGTGAAATAACGTAAAAATTAGCCAAACACTAAAAATGTGCTCTACTTTTCCCCTACATTTTACTACAGTGTTTAGTATTTTGACTATAACATTGTCATTACTCAATGAAAATCAAAAAGTTTTTTTACCAAAATGATCAGCGAAAAAAGCTCTATAAAAATAGATATAAGAGAAAATTTTTAGAATATCCTTGCTATTCGTTTACGTGTAAAAATAAAAAAGTCCAGGCTTTTTTCGGCCCTCAATGTAGGCTATCGACTATGCTGAATATCATGACAATGTCAGTTTTGAAATCGAAACTCCCCACACCTAGTGAAAACTTATATTAGGTGAAATAATCCATTTTGGGCGAAAATGGACAAAAATATTTTCCAAAAATAAAAATTCATAACTTACGAAGGATCTCAGGTGATCCATCCCGATTTAACCAGTAAATGCAATAAAGGTGATCACGAATCTGATATTCATTTTGGCCCATATGACTTTCCAGTATGGATCTGTAGAAACCAGATCTCTAGAGATTCATCCTGCATAATTGAACCGACAGAATCTGATATGGTCAGTTTGTAGAGCAAGTTAAATTACACAGGTACACAAGTTTTTAGATATACCGAACAAGTTCTCTCAGACATATAAAATTTTTACTTTCATCACTCGTGGAAATTATAGATACGATAATTTTTCTTCAATTAAAAATTTTATATGTCTGAGAGAACTTGTTCGGTATGTCTGAAGACTTGTGTACCTGTGCAATTTAACTTGCTCTACAAACTGACCATATCAGATTCTGTCGGTTTAATTATGCAGGATGAATCTCTAGAGATCTGGTTTCTACAGATCCATACTGGAAAACTATATGGATCAAAATCCATATCAGATTCGTGATCACCATCAAAAAAAATGGGGTCCTGTCGGTATAATGTATCGCCACTATACCGTTGTTTGTTCAAATTTTAGCGGAAACTGGATACGCTTAGAATCATAGAATATATGAATAATTTCAATTTTTTTTGTGCATTTTCGCCAAAAATGGATTATTTCACCTAATATAAGTTTTTACTAGATGTACAGGGATTGATTCAAAAAAAAAAGAAAATCCAAAACTTTTTATTGGCAGATATTCTCAACTAAAAAGGATCCATGAGATACATCACTTTGAGATGATAATATTATTTTATTTCTCAATAGATCTATGATCCGAACTATCCTCTGTGGAATGATGAAAACCTCAACTCTCCATCAGTAGTCTATCCAATGTCATTCAAAAAAAGTGGAGTAAATAAAAAATCAAATGGATAGTTCAATATAGTTATTCCAAAATAACAACACCCTGTAAGATTTGCTCATTAGATCTTATTTGGTCTGAAACAATATCGCTCAGTTTTTAGATGTTGAATGTACTGATGATTTATCCGCTTTGCGCAACGTTTCTGCTATTTATGAGTTCGTTGATATACGTGCTATTAAATATTATGTTACTCATATTACACAATTTAAAGATGATTTTTCTGAAGTTCCTTAGTTCATCTTATATATTCGTGTTGCGTGCTGTCATCTTAGAAGACTGTAAATCATGTGAGAAATAAGAGCTTCAAAAGAATATTTAAAAATAAACAGAAGCATCCTATACTGGCAAGGTATTTCTACGATCAATTCTGTTTTATTCGAGATATGTTTTATACTAAATTTTTGCACAAAAGTAGAAACATATTTCTGTGAGAAGTAGGTCATAATTTTTATTTTTCTACTATGAACAACAGACTTTTTTTACTTGATATAAAGTTCATTTTTTAAATGTCAATTTAGATATTAAATTATGTCTGCTATAATGAATTTTGCCGCGCATATAGAATCCTCTAATGGAACAAAAACTGGTACATTAAATCCTCTATATATTGTTGTTGATATTTTTTTAATTGCATCTATTATTTTGGGTTTTGTATTCTGTATTTCATTTATTCTTATCGCTGCTTTACATCGTTCCTGTCGTTCTGTATTAGCACTTTTATCCTCGAATTCGTGTTTGGCTGGTCTCATATTTAGTAGTGTTCAATTGAGTAATGCTATATTATTATTACGTGAAGATATACTATTAACACCAGTTCGATCACATTATTGTCAAGTGCGTAGCTATTTAATGTATGTTAGTGGAAGTCTACTGTATTATTCTTATAGTGCTCAAAGTATAAGTCGATTATTTTATGTTGTTTTTTATAAACAAAAATTTTTATTAACATATCGTGTACACTATGGTTTGATTGCCATTCAATGGATACTCGGATTTCTGTTACCATTATCAATTCTTACAACTGGACGCGTTCAATATCAGTTAGAAACAAGTCAATGTTTCATTAAAATTAGAAATGTTAGTCAAACACTTTATGGTAAGAGAAAATAAATTTAGTACTTAAATATTTCTTAATGTTTTTAATTTTTTTAGGTATGATATCGATGTTTCTTTTGCCCATGACGGTAATCTCAATTTGTTACCTCTATATTGTATGTTATGTTCGCTCAGCTGTGGCAAGGGTTAAAAGGTCCAATGCATTACCGATTAAAAATTTTAATTTAATTCGTGAGCAAGGTGCAATTCATATTAAACAACGTTTTTCAAGTTCACGTGATGTTAAAGTATTTCGTCATATTATTATTCTGATTACAGTACTTTGTATCGGTGGTTTTCCATATTCACTTTTAATGCTTATGAATACAAAAAGTATTGCACCATTTTCAATTTACCGTGTTTGCATCACAATATTTAGTTTAAGTGTAACGGCTGATATGGGTGCCATTCTGTTCTTCAATAAAAATGTAAGAACTATATTTTTCAATGTTTTACAAGGTCAATTTCGTACAAATCGTGTGACAACAACTATAATTCGATAGTACCGCAAGGACACAAATCAGGGTTGTTGAAGCTTTTCAAATTTTGAAGAAGATGAGAGATGTCGGAAGCTCTTTTTTCGATGCTAGTATCAACTATCGCTACATAAACCGTTGCAAAACTGAAACTTTTGATTATTGAAAAGAGTCAACAAAAGAGACTCCTGTAAGTCTCAATAGTCCTTTGATTCATTAAAAGTTTGTATAAAATATTTTGCTTAGTATTTTATAATAGTCTGTAACAATGTATGTTTATTCTAATATATTTGTTGTCGTACTACTGTTAGAAACTAATAAAAACTCCTTAATTAATTAATTAACAACACGATTTTTATATGTACAAAATAAAAATAACATTAAAATGTTTTGTCTTGAATGTACTTTTATAATACAATCTTTTGCTGATAAAAAGACTTTTATTTGATTGATATCACCAACAGATAATTATTCATTAAATAAAGTATTCTGAAATCACCAAAGATGTCGACTAATCCCATGGAAAACATCCAATTCATGGAAAACAGAATAATAATAAAATGACACTGAGAAGACAATAGAGAGTAACTGAAAAACCCATCTATAGCTCCATAACGGTTTCACCTGCATCCAAAGGCAAAAATTATCCAAGCTATAGAACTCAGAAAAAGTTCAAACAAACCATTAGATATTAACATTATGTGTCTAGAGTGAGCAGTTTCATAACCCGGCAATACTTCATAAGCACTAGGAATCTCATAAAGTGATTTGATGGTGTGATCACTTTACGTGAGCAAGGTGTATTTAGCTCACAGTCCAAAAGAATATTAACAGTTCCGTATTTATCTAGGAACTATTTAATATTAAATAAGTTGTCTGCCTACGTGGAGGTACTAACAGACACTCTCACAGTGCAAAGCTGAATGATCAACAATGGATCACAAACAGCATACGAGGACTATACGTGATAGGGTAGCGATACATTCATATAACTCTCAGACAGTCGTAATCATTAACGTTTTTGCTTTATTTTTTTCTCAAAAAATAATACTGTACAAGAAAAATAGGTGTACAATAATAATCATAAACAGCGAAAAAAAATATAGAAAGCCGGCGAGTTAAAGTTCCTTCCGTGCAAAAATCGAATAAATTGCACACCTATACATTAAAACTATTCATATAATTTGTGATTCTAAGCGTATCCAGTTTCTGCTAAAATTTGAAACAACGATATAGTAACGAAGCATCATAACGGTAGAGTACTATCTTATACAATCGTACAATGAACTAATAGTCCTTTAAGTCACAAAAAAGGGAACCATCAACGAGACACATATCTCGGATGAATCCTAGAATTTATAGTTAGATCAACAGAACACATGCAACGCTTTTTTCTCCAAAATTGTAATTCTGATCGTTATAAGAAATTGAGAGCCATCTTCTCATCTGTCTCTGTCTCATAAAGAGATTTTCCATAACTAAATCTATTTATCTGACTCTAATCCTTCACAAATAATAATATCTTCATCTGTTCCAAATGCTTTTCTTGCTCGATCAAAATTCTCAATTGTTGTTTTACATAAACACTCTGTGCTTCCAGGATCTTTGTATAAAACATATTCTGTCTGTTTCTCATCTATCTGATATCCTACTACTACAATATAATGTCCCTGGTAGGACGATGACCAAACTTTTGATATCAATCTACCGACTATCGATGTACAACATATACATGATAACTTATTAGCATCAATAAGAACAATAAAAGGTTTATTTTGATCTAATTCTAACTTGATATTGGACCATTCTAATGAACATTTTTCAAAATTCAATTTCTGATTCGAAAATAATTCTTCAACACGTTGACGATCTTTGTCAATTATGTTTTTATAATAGGGTACTGATGCGTAATTATCAGAGCAACCAAGAGTTATTGTGGATAGTTTTGATCGAACATGCAAATAAGACAACATATTTAACAAATCAATGGACCATGTACTTTTATTGCAGTTATATTCGGATAATAAAGCATCAAATAAATTCAAATCTATTTTATAATATGACAATACCATTCGAACACACGTTACACCACAATCCCAATAACTTGTTTGACATAAATGAGGAATTGAAATTTCTTTACTCATCTCAGATGTATCTAAAATTAGTACAAGGTAAATTTATTTGATTAAAAATGGAGAAAAAAATGGGCTAAGGTAAACTATAAGAAGTTAAGCAATTCATCGTTGAGCGATATCTCATGACCATCAATCTTTGAACAAATACGGCGATTCTTACGTTCATTATAGCGAAAGAAAACTGTAAACCTTTAAACGAAATGCAAGAATTAAGTTTCAAAAAAAACTTTCTCAAATTGAAGCGATTTGTATTTGCTGTGTTTTTAGATATTCTAAATTTTTGACCGGTTTTACAGACTTTTCGCATACCATTATTCTCTCCCGACCACTCATTCATTAATCTTCTTTTCTACTATTTAATAATCGTTTTTGTTGTGCGTGTTTTTGTTGTGAGAATAATTAAATTATATTAATTAAAAATTCCTTAATAAATTAATTAAGGAATGGAAAAAATGTCGAGCATTATTTCTGCATGTTCCTGATGCGCTGGCGATTTAATTGTTTTTCCGTTAGAAAGAGCAAAGTTTGAACTTCAAAGAACATAGAAAACAAAAGTTTTTGTAATCGTTTTGTAATGCTCTTGCAAAGCACTTTTTTCTTTAATTTTTCACTGCAACCTGAGGAGAAAATCCTTTTTGAAAACTAAATAGATGAGAATGTTGTCTACACAAAACCGTATTGATCCATCTACTGTCGAAAATGTTTCATTAACTCCTTAATAGTAAAAAAAACGTATTACAAAAGTCAGATTTGGTAGAAAACTGTACTTTTCATGTGAAAGGCACGACATTGAGAAAATTTGTTATTTAGGACTTAAGATGTGTCAGTAAAAATTAAAACTAATGTGACTTTGCAGGGGATTAAATGCTGTTTCAGAAAATATGTTTTAGCAAAAGGACAAAGTTCATTTAGTATATAAAAATTATTAATTAAGCCTAATCAACTCTTTTTCTAAAACAAATGAAAAACTCACGAAATCAATAGAAAAAAGATAATTTATCACATCCGATTCAAAAGAGCAATAAAAATACTTCTAGTTTCTTTAATTACATAATTTCAAACTTACTCTGCTATAGTGAAAAAATACTTTTGATGAGAGCGATATATTTCAAAAGGGTGGAATTTGCAAGAGTTTTTGGGGCGGCGTTTCGTATTTAGATTTCGTCTCACTCAAACTCAATTACAAAAAATTTTGTTTCAGCAGCAAGTTCAGACTTTGCACCTTCTAACAAAAAAAATAAATTAAATCGCCCGCGCATCAGGAACATGCAGAAATAATGCTGGACACATTTTTTCCATTTCTTTTGCATCGTATAACAGATGGACTGTGTAAGAATGAATTTTTCACTAACATATCAACAATGCTGTTTTTTTTTTTTTAGATAAGATCCAGAAGGAAAAAATTATTACAGAAAAACAACAAAAATTGCGATAGAGAGAAATGAGTTTCCATTACACTTCTATATTCACGTTTTTTTCAATAAAAGTATTTGGCTGTTATATTTTGGATATATTAGGAAGATGCTATCTGTATGCTTTTTCAATAGTGCATTTTTTACTCTCTTATTATTACTGAGCCTGCTGACTACAGAGTTATTGAGTTACCGAAAAAAGATGAACATTTGGGAAATGTGGGGGTAAAAACTATTTTATTGCTTTTCATAGAAACATGATTACTTCTGTATACATCTTCCAATAGCAGTGAACTATCTAAATTACTTTCATTTCCTTTTTATTGACAACATAACTTTAACAGGAAAAATATCCTCATTTTTTCCACTTTCTTTGATTTGTTATGTTTTTCCAATTAGACATACAGACAGAAAAAAGATGAACAAAAAAGAAAACACTATCATAGTCAAATCAGTTCAACAAGTGTTATTATTAATTTCAAAAAAAGACAGAAGACATTTAAGAACGTATTATCAAGTTTGTATCACTACAAACAATAGAGTAGATGTAAAAAATTCACAATCGAAGTAAAAAAAAAAAGAAAATACAGTAACACATATATAATAAATCAGAACAAAAAAAAAGTAAATGTTTACATTATACACACAAGACACAAAATGAAGGAGAAAAGACTTCTCTATCTGAATTAAGCACACTATCCATCATCATCATCTGACATTTTTAGGCTTAGAGAGAAAAAAAATATTGCACAACTAAGTCGCTCAGATACACGTAAACAAAAGAAAACGTGAAAAATCAAGAAAGATATTGGCTTATATGGAACAGCCACAAAAGAAATAAAGAGAAAAAATGCACGTACCAGCGTTGCATAAAGAGTAAAAACCAGCAAAATTGAAAGAGTTTGTCCGATTAGTGTCCCAAAAACAAATCAGCAAACTCTGTTTTTACATGTCGTTACTCTCCATAGGTAATTGAGAGAGAAAACTAAAAAACAAGAAAGAATATATATATTTTTTCCATTTCATCATTGTCTGGTTATTCTTTGAATAATCGATTTAATGCCAATTGTATATAGACAGCTTTACAACAGTCATTTATTGCTATATTGAATAGACATGCTTGTGAATATTTTCGTTTAACACTTTTTAATTTACTTAAACTATCATCATTTTGTATCAATAATTGACCTAACAGTTCAATACCAGATTTTAATTGTTCAAACGAATATGATGTATGATAGATAAAAAACTCTGTAGGCCAAATATATTCAATTAATTTTTTAATTATTTGTGATGTTATTGTTGTGCCTCTTTTTTGTTGTTGTTGTAACAAAATTAAATAACGTGAGAGAAATGATGCACAGGCTGCCACATACGATGGTGAATAATGAACTAACGACATATCGGTAAAGGTTAATTCTAACAAATATTTACCCAATGTATGTTCAATATCACTTGCTTGACCAATTTTTGAATAACGCCGTAAGAAATTAATGGCCAATGCTAAAAGAAAACCAAAACCAACGTGTGATCACTGAATTAAACAACGAATAAAACTTACGTCGACCTAAATTATAATTTAATTGATCAAATATATCACGCTCCATTTCTTTCATATCGTCTTTAGTAAATGCATTATCTGATACATAAACTAAATCATTCATTTCTGGTATGCGCATTTCTTCATATTTACACGCCATAAATAATGCTAGAACGACAAAATAAAATCATTAGCAATAGACAGAAGAAAAGAAATAGTAGAAAAATGTGCGCTAATGTTGGCTCACTGTCATTTTTATACAAAATCATTCGGTAAGTAGCTGTTTGAACTACACATCGCTTCGATATAGAAGATAAATACTTAAAACTAAGAATAAAATGATGACTAGAAACTATTCTCACACAATTCGTAAACATTACTGAGTACTTCAAATTTCACACTTCTAATAGACTATTTCTAACGCCGCCTATTATGTAATGAGAAAACTCAGTCTTACAAATATATTTCACCAGTACTCAAAATCATGGTTTACATAATTTTACCTGTTGAACCGATTAGTTGTAAATCACGTTTTTGTACATCGACAGCTTCTAAATATCTATCAATAATTTGTACAGTTGTATAAAACGTATCGGATAATAATTTAAAACGATCATGTACTTGATATAACCAATCGATCAATATTGCACGACTATTAGCTGTTACTGTACCTAAACGATTGACGAAGAAACAATTTGGTGCTTAAAGTTTCATATATCGTATAAAATAAAGATCTCATAAATAAAGATGGATTTGACTAGCATATCAAAGATAAAAAACTTTTTTTTATCATACGGACTCGACTATATGAGCGATTCTTATTCTTATCTCATAAAACAGATTTATCGTAGAAAAAAATATCCCTAAGGTAAGAAACAAAGAGAAACTGATTAGTTTTATTTATTATTATTATTAAAATAAAAAAGGAACTTTACCTTTTCTTTCTTGTAAATAATTTGGTTTAATTGGCATTTTTTGTTCTAATTCTCTCCAATATTTACAAATATCATAAATATATTCATACACTGTATCCAAAACTTTTGAATCACTACTATCGCAATCATACTGAAGTGGAACATCAGTTACTTTAGTTGTTTCTACTATTATTTCTTCTTCTATATTATCTTGTTGTTCTAAATCATTTTGTTCTATTTCATGTTGTTGTTCTTCTGCTTCTTCAACGATGATGACTCTCATAGCATCTTTTGCTGGTAAATTTTCTTTTGCTAACGACGATGCCCTTTGTGGTGATATTGGTTTTTTGTTAATCGAAAGCGTTGTTAATTTATTTGTAATTGTTGCTGTTGTTCTATTTCCAACTTCTCCAAGAATACCACGTTCTTTCATAGTTTGTTTAAGATGTGGCTGTTTTGAAAGTGATTTGAAAACAAGATTTTTAATTGTAGAATTATTTTCATTATTATTTGTTTCGTTTAATGATGATGACGACGATAGAACGTTTGTTTTTTCAGGACGGAAAAAAACATGATGATGATACATTTTGATGGATAGATGTTTGTGTACGTGTAAATTGATTTCAACAATCTGGAACAAAAATAAACATCACTACTAACAATATCCGTGAAAATGAAAACTACTGTATAATAAAAAAAAGGGTTTGAATCCATGCTTATAAGATATTCTATTTCTCCTTTACTATTACTTTCTGTTTGAGCGTACTTCATGTTACAGTAGAATCGAATGCATTCGTACTATCGCAACGTCCCACACAGCTGAACCCATTTTTGTGCAAATATGATGAAAAAAATCCTTGCGAAAAAAGATCAATGATCACTGAGCAGTTTTCTTTCTTTTCCCTTTCTTTTAAGCGTTGGACAAAGGCTCCCTGTGCATTTCTGTTGGCCAACAGATAAAGAGAAGCAACTTCTTGTTACCATTGATATAGATGGCGCTTTGTGTTCACTACGAGACAAGAAAAATCAGGATAACAGCTAACTCTATAAGGAAACAATTTGTTCAATCATTTTTCTCACAAAACTGATTAGTTAATACGACAAAAGATGTGCGTATACTCTCATCTTTTCATTTCTCATTTATATACAATAGCATGACATCTTCTGAGTTCTCGTTTTTGTAATTTTAAAAATAATACACTGTGCTGTGTATTAGTTGAAAAAAATCAAAGCAACAATCGTCCTTTCCGTTCTATCTCATATAGAATTACATGCGACTGTGATATCTATTTAAAAATCAAAAGTTTATTGGTTTTATTCAATTAACAAAAATATTAGATGATCGGTTATCTCGAAGTGCGAACGACATGCCATGTTCTACTAGTTGTAGCGCTCCAGAGCCATACAGAGCCGATAAAAACTTTTTTATACGAAACGGACAGCCTAGGATTTAGCGATAGGAACAATTGTACAATACTGTAGGGGATTAGTGCTGAAAATTTTGTTTAGTTTTACTATTTCTTGTCCGTTTTTCACCCGAAACATTTGACATAAACCAGGATAGTAAAGTTGTTTATGGAGACCGCCAGGGGTGTGAATCTCCCCAATAAACGAAAATAGGACGAAAAACTTTTACATATTTCATACCAAAAAGTTCATATTAAAGGGTTTCATACTATCTCAGGCCAAAAAAATGATGACATCCCCAATCCAGGGAATAATTTGTCATGTAACCAGTTTTTTAAATAAATTTATTGTATTTTTATACCGTTTAGCTCTTCTGCTGAATCTATACAGTATTCTAACAGATCACCATGATCTCGACCGAAGTGTATGAAAGAGAGCCAAGACCAAAAGTGAACAAAATGAAAAAAGAGGGAAACGCATGACTATAAAAAACGATGAAAAATTTAAAATTATACTAAAAGCACAACACAATGAAGAACGGAATTCTATGATGAGAAAATTTTACATGTACATAAGTTTTTAACGTAATCACTTTCATACCAGAACTGATCATGAAAAGTAATGTACAACTAAAGCTCGAATGTTGAAACTAGTAAATCAACGAAAACTGTAATTCAAACAGGCTTTGCTTACATGATGTATCAGAATGGTATGAAAAAATAATAACCATAATGAAACTCCTTGTAAGCAAGATCTTGACTTCTTGAATTTTTTCAGTAAGATCTTGAGGGATGTAAGAATTCAAGACATCTCAAGTGAAGAACTTGAACATCTTGTCATTTCTTGATCTCTTGTACCAAGTTCTTGATTGAGATTTTGATTGATTGAATCCTGTACCCTGTGGAAATTCTTGAATCACTTGTTTTACACTCTTGTGTAAATAAGTGCGAATATTTTCACACTTAGAATAACTTAGAATTTTTTCCTTCCTGACCATAGTTGTTTAAGGAAGAGCCCTATGATTCTATATGGTCGTATATCTGGTGGCTATCTCTAGTGATTGTACTTGAACATAGGTATCCAAGCCACGTACTCTGCTACAGTAATGTCCTAGGTGTTTGCAACTAAAATATTACTTAGCGGGTACTTAAACGGTCAGCCATTTTAGGTGATCGTGTGAGGATAAAAACGCACATCATTCTTGTAAAGATGTGTTTTTCCTTTATATATGTCTGAACGCGAAACAAAACGGTCAGCAGAAAAAAAAACTTGCTATGCTGCGTTCAGCACAAATAACTGGGTACCGCTCAAGTAATATTTACTTGAAATTCAAGCATCTGTGATATTCATGTAGCAGGGTACCCGCATAGATACATAAGAAAAATGCAAATACTCGAGTACCTATCGTCAAGTACATCCACAGGGATAGCTGTCATAAATGAAATGAAAATACAAAGAAAATTTTTCATTTAAAACCTTGCAACATCTTGAGTGGATTTGCTTGAATTTGAAATTTTTGTTAAAAATTTTCACTAGGGAAAAATTTGGCCCACTCTGAGACATATTGGTTATACAAGGCATAATAAAAGACGTTTGACAACAGAGTTGCCAACTCTAAAAGTTAAAAAAAAAATCTATTTATTTTCAGCAACATCAATAAATGACTGAAACTATAGAACACGATGTTTTTTGGATTGATATTTCTTGATCGAGTGTATTGAGGTTAATAAGTCTTTTTGTGATAAAAGATGTTTATTCATGTCTGTACAAGATAATGAAGCATTCAAGCGTATTTTTAGCTCTACCAGAACTAATTCTGTCGACATATGACTATCATTGAACAAATGTTTCATTTAACAGAAAAAAAACTCTCCATATACGTATGCATTGCCACAAGGAATCGAATAAAGAAAACAAATTAATTTATACATGTTTGGTAATGGTTTGGGATTTAAATGGAATAACATAGCCCATAGTTGTCTTCTTCTTCATCACTATCATCATTCTTCTCTTTTTTTCTCTTTCCTATTACATCTTTCCCACTTTTGTTTACAATGAATGAATAAATTAACTTACAATTGAATTATCAAGAAAGTTCTTTCGAGTGTTGACTCGTCCCTTCTCCCGATACTCATAGTTTTGATGATTAAAATACATATCTTTCATAAAGTAATTCGATATTATTGATTATGAAACATGGTATAGAAATATTTGTCATGGAAATTTAAATATGAAAAGAATTAGTTAATCTTGTATCATCTATTCTTAAATCTTTGAAATAGTATTTTATATGACTTGTTTAGAGCTTATATCTTACTACAGAAGTATTTATTTGCCATTCGAATGTTGTACAAGTGCCATTGGATGGATATCGATTAATTATAAAAAGTCCATGATTTTGGATCATTCAAATTCTAGTTATCCAGAATAGTGATCCAGATCATTTGACAAATGCGTTTTGGATAAAACTAGAACTTCCGTACATAGTAGCAAAGCTTTACTTGGTTAATCAAACTACATGAACTTAGTATTTCTTCGTTTTAAAAAATGCACTAAGTAATTAGCCACTATTATCCTAAAAATTAGTTCAAGAACATTTCATCGTCTCTGATATGTCGCCTAAAGTTTAGGTGACATATTAGGCCCTTTTTTTTAACGCAATTTTTGAGCGTTTAACTCACTCAGAGTTTCTTCAGCTATGCACAAAAATTGATTAGCAAAGTTAAAGATACACAGTATCCAGTGAAGTCTTATGGGAAGAAGAAGTGAATGAAAAATCAGCCAAATATTGAACAAGGATGTTCTCAATTTCTTTTCAAAAATTCTCAGTTCGTGTTATCACGTATTCAAACACAAAAGTGATGAATGAAAGAACAATGTAAACACAATGACAGTAACAAAACTTCTATAAAATAAAAAAACATTCGTCAAAAATTGCCTGTTAATAAACAACAAACGCAACAAACAATATTGCACAAAAAGTGTCGATGCTTGTCTAACTAATACAAACAAAGTCCATAAAAATGAATATAAAAAAACAACCGTTTGATAGTATAGATGCCTTTTTGAAAGAAAGAAAAGGATTGAACACCGGTATAATTTTCAAACCAATGATCACTTTCAGTCAATTATTCACATGCACTAAAATGATTTCGTTTACGATTTGTCGCGGTAAGAAGAGCGACTGGTTTTGGCAGTGGACGACGAACAAAAACAGGAATTTTGGGATTAACGAATGTATTTAGAAGAACTAAAAATGCTTTTGATGGAAGGATACTAAAATGAAACGAAATAAGTAGTCAAATAAAATCTATCGCTTTCGTTCTAAAACCGCGGATTGAAAGAAGAGTTTACGCCGACCGAATAAAGCTATTAACTGGCAAAAGCAACAACGTCGTTGTCATAAATCGGAGATATCTTTGTCATTTTCCTCACTGTCATATCTTCTGTAAAAATAGTTTTTAAAAAGACCCATTTTTGCAAAAACAGTCACAAATTTTTTGCGAAAAAAGCTTTGATCGACGGTGCAAGTACTATTGTTAACCTATTGTTTCTCTTAGCAAACGAGATCGCATACCCTTTGATTAATGGTATTAAATAATAAAATCTTGGAACACAAACAAATTTTTTATTGACTAATACTCCATGTACGATCTTTTTCGCAGCATAGTCAAGTGTCAATGGCGGTAGTAACGGATTGAGTCGAGTTTTTGCTTGTTGAAATAATTGCGTTGATATATAATGAGGACAAGACACTGTTGTATAGATACCATCATAGCGACCTAGTCACAGAGGTAATAATCAATGATTTAAGATTAATTTTAATATCGTCTCTTACCTAGTGATAGTTCATGATCAAGACTCTCCATTAACCCTGTGACACCAAATTTAGCCGTGCATATATCACTAAAATGACCATAACCAAATAAAGCTGTGGTTCCCAACATTTGGATAATATGACCATGATTTTTTTTCATCATTGACGGCAATATTTCTCGAATCAACTACATAATAGAAAATAAAAAAAGAAGAATTAGACAGTTATCAAAGATAAGTATCTATTTAAGCATACCCAATATGATGCAAATAAATTCACCTCCATTGTTCTCATAAATTCCGTTTCACTTGCTTCTAATAACAATTTCGACGATAAAACAGCTGTATTAACAAAAATTACATGAAATTTCAGAGTTAAAACTGGAAAGAGACATTACCAGCGTTATTGACAATCATTGTCACTTCTCCAACATCAGTCTGAATTCTTTTAACTAATTGAGAAATCTCTTCGCGTTTACTGGAAGAAAAAAACTGTATTATATAGTGACTTCTGAAACCTGTCTATCATAGAAAATGACGTTATAGAAGTTAAATATTGTTTGTCTCATTTTTCACTAAATGAGCTAAGTGTATGTTTTACCCAATATCGCATGTGTAGGAATACACTCGATGTAACGGTATAGAAGCATCATTCATCAATTGAACCGTTTCCTTGTTTCCTTCTTCATTAATATCACATAATATCACAATTGCACCACGTTGAGCAAATAAAACAGCTAATTTTTGACCTAGAAAAAGAGATCAATTAAAACCAATTAATTGCAAATTTCACTTGAGAATTACCTAATCCACGAGCTGTGCCTGTTATAAGTATAATTTCATTTCTGATATTTTTTTCTGTTGTTGAAAATATATAATGTTTCACAACTGATATGATCGATGCAAGAATTTCGATCAAAATCGATATTAAACATTTAATTAATTCCATGAATGTTGTTATTTTTTTCACATTGATACACCACCTACATAAATTAATCTACAAAAACTAAGTAACAAACCGACTATAACATTCCAAGTTGAGATAACTACTTGAATTACTAGAATCAAATTCGTCATTCTTGTGTATAATCATAATCTGAAGATGTATCATCACTAAAACATTGAAACCTCTGGTGAGGAAATGTTCTCTGCACAAAATTTCTAGTTATGATCATTTGCAAAACGACAGTGTTTGGATCAGTTCGTTCTCGACTTTCTTTCGTTATATAATAACTGGGACATCTGTAATGTATATTCGTCAGGCGGATGGTTGAATGTACAGTAAAAAAACACTATAATTAAAAGATCTAAACTTCAATACTTTTCTTTCTTTTAAATAGTCATAGAGGAAGGAAAGAATCTATCTAGTCAATATAGCTAAAAACTTACATATGTAAAAAATGGTTTTGTTAAAAAATGTTCTACAAATTGTATAGAATAGTGTTGAAAATAGAAGTTGCAATACGAATATCACACAAAAATATTCATTTTTTCGAAATGCAAATAGACAATTTATTCCGTTTTCTATTCTAAACGATATGTCGGTCATCAACATATTGAACATGTTTAATGCTTCAACGGTTTTTCGTTAATGATAGAAACATTTTGAATGAAAATTATGTAAATATGGTATACTGCAAAACCTAACAATAATCAAATAACATATAAGTGTATATGGATGATTGCGATCAAACAACGTACATTGATATACTCGACGCATAATTATATTAGTGCGATTTATCTGTATAACAATTTCCTAATTAGATTGAAAATAATGGTGGCATCTTCTTTGTCAGTTGAATGCTTCAGTTTTCATATTATAAACAATGAAACAATAAGTAATAATTAACTATCTATTTTGTGATAGAATAATTGATGGTTTTTCTCATCTAGAATAAGGTGATCAAGAACAAGCAAAGAGATTGCATATTATCAAGAGTATAATGTAGGCAACAAAAGTTTAACTTTTATTTCTGGATTTTCTTGTAAACGAAAGTAGCTAAAGGACTTTGGAGTAACTAGACACAATAAAAAAATTTTAATCTAAATCTAACCGAATTAAAAAACTGAACTTTTAAAAAAGACGGACGACGGTTTCTGGAAAGTACGGAACAGAAACAAAAACAGCAAATTTGCTAAAAGGAAGCGTTTTTAGTGAAAAAAAGACTTTGGTGCTTTCCGGAAAAACTGCATAACTCGGTCAAAAGCGGTCGCAGAAATCTGCGGAACATTTCATTTTGACGAGAAAAGTTTACTTTATCTTGGTAAATGATCAAAATGGCATTTAACTAATTTGGAAAAATTTGAAAATTTTAGGTTTTTTAAAAGGTGAGGGACAAGAAAATGACGCTATATATTTTTGAGAAGATAACGACTGTAACTGATTAGAAACCGTTCGTTATTTAGTTTTTAATATTTCTGCGTCTTAAAAGCTAATTGTAGACTATCATATGCTGAAATTTTTAATCATTTCTGAGCATCGGTCGGTCCAAAAAGCCTATTCGATCGTATTTATTCCTTTTTCTCTGCGAGTTCGATGTTCTTAACACCTTTTAGACGAGAAACAGAAAAAGTTGTTTTTATGAAAAGTATGAAAATTCCGCCCGAAAGGTGTTAACGCCAAAAAAGTCTCAGAAATCTGCGACCCGTCTGATTTTGATGAGAAAAGTCTGCTTTGTCTTGGTGAATGATCAAAAATGGCTTTTAACTAATTTGAAAAAATTTGAAAATTTTAGATTTTTTTAAAAAAATTGGATTTTTTCCGGAAAATATTTTTCTACCAACACACAGTGGGCAACTAAGCGGACATTAGGCCAAAAAGTCGATTTTATCTATCTTGAAATACAAATAGTGCAAAATGTAGCTCTTGAAATTCTCTATCGAATGGTGTATAAA